AAAATCTAAACACATGTTTAGATTCAGCATATCAAAGAACCCCAAAAATTCAATTTTTGTTAAAATCAAACTAAGTTTAATTTTGGACCCTTTGGACCTTAATGTAGACCAATTTAAAAAAAGGAACCCAAAATTAAAAATCTAAATACACGGTTAGATTTGGCATATCAAAGAACCCCAATAATTAAATTTTTGATGAAATCAAACAAAGTTTAATTTTGGACCCTTTTGACCTCAATATGAACCAATTTGATAGCATGCCCACAAATAAAAAATCTAAATACATGGTAAGATTCAGCATATCAAAGAACCCCATATATTCAATTTTTGTTGAAATCAAACAAAGTTTAATTTTGGACCCCAATTTGGACCAACTTGAAAACTGGGCCAAAAATCAAAAATCTAAATACATGTTTAGATTCAGCATATCAAAGAACCCCATATATTCAATTTTTGTTGAAATCAAACAAAGTTTAATTTTGGACCCCAACTTGGACCAACTTGAAAACTGGGCCCATAATCAAAAATCTAAACACATGTTTAGATTCAGCATATCAAAGAACCCCAAGAATTCAATTTTTGTTAAAATCAAACTAAGTTTAATTTTGGACCCTTTGGACCTTAATGTAGACCAATTTAAAAACGGGACCCAAAATTAAAAATCTAAATACACGGTTAGATTTGGCATATCAAAGAACCCCAATAATTCAATTTTTGATGAAATCAAACAAAGTTTAATTTTGGACCCTTTTGACCTCAATATGAACCAATTTGATAGCGGGTCCAGAAATAAAAAATCTAAATACATGGTTAGATTCAGCATATCAAAGAACCCCAAGAATTCAATTTTTGATGAAATCAAACAAAGTTTAATTTTGGACCCTTTTGACCTCAATGTGGACAAAGTTGATAATGGGGCCCAAAAATCAAAAATCTAAATACATGGTTAGATTCAGCATATCATAGAACCCCATATATTCAATTTTTGTTGAAATCAAACAAAGTTTAATTTTGGACCCCGATTTGGACCAACTTGAAAACTGGGCCCATAATCAAAAATCTAAATACATGTTTAGATTCAGCAAATCAAAGAACCCTAAAAATTCAATTTTTGTTAAAATCAAACTTAGTTTAATTTTGGACCCTTTTGACCTTAATGTAGACCAATTTGAAAACGGAACCAAAAATTAAGAATCTAAATACACGGTTAGATTCGGCATATCAAAGAACCCCAATAATTCAATTTTTGATGAAATCAAACAAAGTTAAATTTTGGACCCTTTGGACCTCAATGTGGACCAATTTAAAAACGGGGCCCAAAATCCAAAAACTTAATACTTGGTTAGATTCAGCATATTAAAGAACCCCAAGAATTCAAGAATAAAACCCCATTGAAATTGATAAAAAAATAAGCAATTTATACGAAGTATCTTCTTTTGCACAATACTGTGCAATTGAATATTTCTTGCTATTGTGCAATACTGTACAATTGACAATTTCTTGCTATTGCGCAATATTGTGCTATTGGATATTTCTTGCTATTGCGCAATACTGTGCAATTGAAGATTTCTTGCTATTGCGCAATACTGTGCAATTGAAGATTTCTTGCAATTGTGCAATACTGTGCAATTGAAAATTTCTTGCTATTGCACAATACTTATTATATAATAATTTACACATCCTGTTTGGTGTGTATCTCCTACCATATCATTATTATTTGCTTTTAAATATTAATCAGAAATAACCAACTTAAAATGGAAAATTTTAAAAGAAAAAAAAAAAGGAAAAAAAGAAAAAAAAAAGAAAAAAAAAAAAATCCCCCCCCCCAACTTTTTTGAACCCCCTTATGATTCATCACCCCCAAACTCAATCCCAGCCTTCCCTTTGTGGTATGGTACCTTGCAGTACAATTTCAGAGAGATCCATACACTTGAACACAAGTTATTGTCTGGAAACTAGAAAAATGCTTATTTTTGGCCCCTTTTTGGCCCCCTATTCCTATACGTTTCGGGCAATTACCCACAAACTCAATTCCAGCTTTCCCTTTGTGATATGGAACCTTGTAGTACAATTTCAGAAATATCCAAACACTTACACACAAGTTATTGTCATGAAACTAGAATAATGCTTTTTTTTTGCCCCTTTTTTGGCCCCTAATTCCTAAAATTTTGAGGCAATTACCCCCAAAATCAATTACAGCCTTCCCTTTGTGATATGGAACCTTGTGGTACAATGTCAGAGAGATCCATACACTTATACACAAGTTATTGTCTGGAAGTTACAAAAATGCTTATTTTTGGCCCCTAATTCCTTAACTGTTGGTACCATAACCCCCAAAATCAATCCCAACCTTCCTTTCGTGGTATTGAACCTTATGGTAAAATTTCATGGAGATCCATTCACTTGAACTAAAGTTAGAGTGCGAAAACCAATGTGTCTTCGGACGACGCCGGATGAAGACGACGACGACGACGCCAACGTCATACCAATATACGACCAAAAAATTTTCAATTTTTGCGGTCGTATAAAAAAGTTGATCCCATATTCATGATATTTAAATTTTTATTTTTATTGTAATTTTTTTCTTTGAATACAAAACAATATTTTACATTTATTAACTATCCTCCATCATGTCCATAAATACTAAAATATCTGTACAGGTAAAATTTAATTCTAATCAAGCTGGTACAGATTGATTTACGACCTTCCACTCGGATATTGTACAGGTTAAGGGATCATAGATTTATTCTTACGAGGAAGCTCCAAGCATGCTCGGAGGATGCTCGGAGCTTTTTTAGTAGGCTCTTCTCTGCAGTTTATGTGACAATAATTATCATGATCCATTAAGATGTCAATCAAATCTACACCACTTCTATAATAAGGAAAGTAGAGCATTATAGAGGAAGCTCAATTAACACCTGTGTAAACATCTGGTCTATTCAGATACATTTTGCATGAAATTTTACAAAACTATAAAATTATAAGATTAGAAATTCTTCAACAGTATTGCGTATTAATGCTTGGAAAGAAATCTCATGTCTCCACCAAAAGTGAAAGTCATATAAATATATAAATATTATATTTAATAATCACTCCTTTTTTATGATAAAAAATTCTCAAATTTTATAATTAGATGATATGATTTAAATATAGTTTATATTATATAATATGCTACACAAAAGTTATTAAGACACAAACAACAGTCAGGGGGCGATACTAAACAAGTTATTTTTTTTAGTTACTTATATTAACAGGTTTTTTTGTTTTTATAAATTTATTTAATAAAAACTCAATAGTTATTTTAAATGTCAAAAGTGGACTAAATGTATACATAGTTTTTAAGAATTTTTATATCATTTCATTATGTAAAATTAAGTATTTATCCAACTTGAGATGAGTATTGAAAGGTAACTGTAAAAATAATGACAAAAATATTACTTTTATAAATTATTTCATACATCTTTGAAAAACTTAGTACAACAATTATTTAAGGAACATATGTAATTGTTTTTGATAAAGATTACAAATTATAAATAACTTCAAGTCTTAATTAAATCACAAGGTTCTATCTATTTAGATTTGTCTTTCTCTAAGATTTTAAGGGAAAGTGATATTTTGATAGCCCCAAGAGACCAATCTTTGACCAAGAAGTGTGGCATCAGAAAGGCAATTAGTGTTTCAGGAGGATTTAAATAGTTTTATATTGCATGGAAAAAATAACCAGATGTCTGTGAAAATTTGTTAAAGCTAGTAAAACCTGTATGAATGGACACCTATACAAATAATATTAACAGAATTTACTTATTCATGATATAGAAGTAATATTTGAAACAACCTCGTTTTCAACATAACTTGTATAGGTGATTTTGAAAATTACTTGTTCAAGAAATGCCCCTAACTAAACAATGGTAATATGTTTTTTTTTTATATATAAAATAGCAAACTTAGTTCTTTTATAGAAAATTATGGCTACTTTATGAAAATTTGAGGGGTAATACCACCATTGTTTTCCCTCTAGTACGCCTCTCTTTAATTGACATTTTTTTTTTAAATTGTGCTGATTTGGCTTTATTTTGAATAAAAAAATACTTGGCATGAGTAAAGTTTTATCCTGTCCTGTACTTCAGTGAAAATCTAACATAAAATTGTTTTCCCCCTATCAGTCTTTGTTTAATTGGTATTTAAAAAAAAAAAGCATAAAATTTATCTATGATTTAAATAAAGAAATACTTGACAAGAGTAAAGTTTTTTCCTGTTCTGTACTATAGTATTAATACAACATAACTTTTCAGTACATATAAGAAAGTAAACATCACCAGAAGTAAACCAATCAAATTATCCCCCCCCCCCTTTTTCCCGTTTTCAAGTTTTAGTAGCCATGTCCCCTAAAATTACCAAAATATTTTATAGAACACCAAATATTTTTTTTGTATTGCTTTGAAACACCCAAGATACATCTTGTCTCAAAAACACTTTTCTGCCATGAAATGGAGGGTCATATCCAACAACTGTCAAATTAAATGGAATATTAACAAAAATCAACACTTTTTTGCATGAAACTGAATGTACTATGTTTTGGTAGTATGGTTATAAATTAATAACCATAATTTGTGTCTTTGATGACTTTTATATTTTATTTTATATAGTATAAATTTAAAATTTATTTATATTTTAAGTATAAAATTTGAGTATTTTTTTGTATTTTTGAAAAAGAATAATTATTAAGAAAATGAAAAACATTTTCTTTCTGTGTAGACTTGATATTTCTTTCCAAGCATTGTACAGTACTATTGCAGAATTTCTCATCTATTTTATAGTTTTGTAAAATTTCATGCAAAATGTATTTGAATAGACCAGATGTTTACACAGGTGTTAATTGAGCTTCCTCTATAATGCTCTACTTTCCTTATTATTGAAGTGGTGTAGATTTGATTGACATCTTAATGGATCATGATAATCATTGTCACATAAACTGCAGAGAAGAGCCTACTTAAAAAGCTCTGAGCATCCTCCGAGCATGCTCGGAGCTTCCTCATAAGAATAAATCTATGATCCCTAATATCACAGCAGGTGTTAATTACACTGAGACAACTGTCCGACCAGTCTGACATCTAGACGGATTAAGACATCCATAATAATAAGTCTCTACCCGTACTGTATATCACCTTGGTCCAAATTTTATTTTGTTTTTGGCTAAAATGGCCATACTTCCTGATGTTAGCTATGTCATTGAAATTTCAAAATTAAGGCATACATGTCAGAGGGTCTTTGTGGGGTTAACAGGACAGAGAATAAAAAATAAAGAATAGAGAAAAATGGGTTGTTAAATATAAAGAATTGAGATAAATGGGCATAAAAGATAGAAAAATGGATTAAAAATTAAAGAATACATAAATGAAGCACCCCATCCAGATCCTAATGTATAACTTCATTTTTAGACAATGCATTTCTCTGTTCTGAAGAATGAATCTATAGTTTAAGCAAAAAATCTGATTTTTCCTTTACTTTTAAGATACAAATTTCCTACAAAATGTACAGAATTGTTTCACTTTACAAATTTAGTCACAGAACTGCTTCTTCCAAACTGTAATTTCTATCATGTTAGAGGTTCTTCCTTTACTGTAACACTGCCCAATCCTTCATAACTTTCTGTTTCTAACTCCAATCCTAATTGAGGTCTCTTTTGCCAATAGTCTTCATCACAAGGCTCTGTTTTTATCACTATATCTGGGACATAATGACCGTGTGCACTTTCTGATTCCAAGTTCATTGTTTTTGGTTCATAATCGCTATGAATATTTTCGGATTCCATGTCTACGTTTTCCACTTTTACAACAACATCAGATATATTATCTACAGTGTGACCATCAGACACTAATGTAATGTCACAATTAGTTTTAAATTTTAGTTTGTTGCTGTTGTCTTCTTCAAGGTAATCACTATTCAACATTTTCTCTGTGTCATTTTCTTGACTGATGTTAAACATTTGGCCAACATTTACAGTGTTTGTATATGAATGTTCCACAGATATGTCTTCATGTTCTGTCTTTACATAAATCTGATCCTCTGTTCTTATATTTTCAATGAAACTAGGCACTTTAGATTTAACCATCACATTGCCAGGTATCGGGTAATCCTCTTGTGAAATGTCAAAGCTTCTTTTTTGTTTATTTTTTAGTTTTGCGTTAGCATTACTGTTCATGCCGACATCTTTAAACAGCTTTTCATTCTTCTCAATTATGTCTCTTAGTTTTTCAGAAAGCCTTTTTGGTGCATTTACAAATCGGTTTGATTTTAAATAACTTAAATCAACATTCTCTTCAACGGAATCTGATTTCTTAGCACCAAGTAAACTGACTGTAAAATTACATGTAGGAGGACAGGATGCAAAATAGTGTTTCAGAAGATTCTGGGCATTCAACTTCAACACTCCACAGAGATTATTAAATTTGCTGACAAGTGGTCGAGAAATCATAATTTCACCAGTATAAAGATACCTTATCAAAGATTCTAAAACTGGAAAAGGATAAAGAGTAAAGTCAATGACCTGTGGATCACAGGTGGCTGACTGAGGACCTGACAACATATTATGAAAATATGGGCTTCCACTGGCTAGAAGAACAAGTTTGTGAGCATTAATGTAAGAGTTATCTGCTCCTTTCAGCAGCACATCACACAACTGCTTCTCTTGTTGCATTGCAAAGAAATTACTTCTAAGGCTATCTACATAGCCTGGATCTTTAGTTACCACCAGCACCTGGTCTGTTTTATCAGATGATTGGCTCTTTGAACTAAAATAAGGTAAAATTAGTTTTAGAATAAGGCATTCAGAAATACCTTATAAACCAAAGAACAGAAATTTAGCACAAATTTAAATACATGTCAATTTTAAGTGAAACAGGTGTTAAATTGAGCTACCTGTGCTCAGTTGCTACTAAAGTAACTGAATCAGACCTGTTTGTTAAGTTTTATATAGTCAACAGATAGTCAATTTGGTCTTTTTTGGAAGTATGATATCCTGAACACTAAGATACAGCTCAAGGTAAATTTCAAATTATTCCGCACCATGTTAATATACAATATATGAACTTAAATGTTTACTTGAACCAAAGTTTCTTAGACATGAAAAGTGAGACAAAAATTAACTTCCAATTTCTCTGGATAGGAAGCAGACTTTCTAGAAGTGGTTATTTGCTATCTCATTAAAGTACACTGGACACTCTAAGTCATTCATCTTTTTTCATAACATACATTGTATAAACTTAATGTAAAACTATGTAAGTATAACAGAATTAATTTAGGACATAGTAATCTATTGAATATGACCTTCTCAATATGCTTAAAGCAGTTAAAACTCAAACAGAACCAGAGGAATTTATTTTTTTCTTATTGATGAAGGCCATACAGTGACTTATAATTGCTTATATGAACTCTGGTGGATAGTTGTCTCATTAGCATTCAGACCAAATCTCCTTGTTTTTATATTAAATGCCATGTGAGGTCAAACTATCATGCATGTTAAGCAGGACAGAAGGTAGTGGAGAATGAAAACAAATTTAAGTGACCTAAATTTAAAATTAACACTTTCACTTGAAGTCATATAATCTTTACAATTAGTTTGACATAATACTAAATATAAACTATTTGTACAGATAGTACCAGTGACACATACTGAAACTGGTGCAAAGGGTATATAAATAGTCTTATATGAAAGCTCAGACTGCAGTTTCACTTATTTTTCGTAGGTACTAATTTTTCGTGGATTGAGATCCAATGTATTTTCATGTATATTTGATTTCAAAAGTTTGCATTCCTAAGCTAATGTAAATTTGTACTTCGTTGAACATCAAAATTTGTAGTTTACCTATATCCACCAAATCAATGAAAATTGGTAACCAACAAATAAAAATTTGTAATGGGTACCGTGGAACCCTGTGTCTCGCCTACAATTGCTGCTGTCAGTGTAAAAGTGTAATGTTGACTTAATAAATGATCCATTTATCCATAAAAAAAAACAGAATTTAAAAAAAAAAAAAATTTCTCTTTAGATGCTATTTCTTGGTCTTGAAGATAAGCTTCTGTCCAAGTTCCATAACAATCCATGAAGGTTAAAAAAACGTATCATGTCAAAAGAAAATTTAATCCCAGACTGTCTATAAATTTTAACTGTAAAAATAATAAGTCCATCTATCAGAAAAATACTGAAAATGAAAAAATATTTTCAAAAGTTTGCTTCAGACATTATCTCTTAATCATAAAAAAGTTTCATAAAATTCTATGACGGTTTGACAATAGTATATAGTATTTGATGTGTAACAAACTTTATCCCCAGACTGTATCTACTTGTTAAATGTAAAAATAATTAAAGTCAATTTATCAGTAAATATGGAAAAATAAAAATAAATATTTTTTTTTGAAATTCTGCTCTGGATACTTTTTTTTGGTCATAAACAATCTTCTGTCAAAAAGTCCATTTATCAGTAAAATACGGAAAAATGAAAATAAATATTTTCAAAATTTTGCTATGGATACTGTATTTTGGTCACAAATAAAGCTTCTGTCCAAATTTCATAAAACTCCACGAAGGTTTGACAAAGTTATTGATGTCTAAAAAACACTTTTAACCACAGACTGAACCTAAATGTTGCTGACGCCGACGCTGGAATCTAGGATCGCTACATAAATGTTACAGGCTTGACAATAATCAATCCACAGTATTGGATACTATACAGATAAGGGCTGTTCCATTAAAACATACATGGTACATAGGGAAGGCACTTTAACAATGAAGTAACCTACTATAGAGGCAATTTAGAACTTTTCTTTACATTTTCATTGTTCAAAATAATTTTAACACCCACCCATAGTTTCGATTTCAAAGTGCCTTCCCTGGGTCCCATGTATGTTTTTATTGAACAGCCCTAATTATTTTAGATAATAACTTAGTTGAAGTAAACTAAAAATACCACTAACTATAGTTTTCATAAATTTTATTGGTATTATAAAGTTCAGAGTTTTTCTTAACTTATTTTAATGGTAAGTTCTATTTTCTTTATTTCATTGGTTGTAATTGAAAGAGGAAGAATTGATTGCTAAAAAATAACTTCTTTAATCTTGTAACGTGTTCATGTCCCTGTCTGGAATCAGGAACCTCATCATCACATCAATGGTTGACTATAATCATACATTATAATAACAGTTTTAAATCTAGTGTATTGGTGAAGAACCAATAATGAGATGTGGTATGATTGCCAAAGAGACAACAATCCACCCAAGTTCAAATGAAGTGGATGTAAGCAATTATAGGCAACTGTACAACCTTTAACAATGTTGACTACCGACTGTATTTTAATATTTCAACAAATTTTCTTGATGCAAAAATATATTTCCCTCATAGTTAAAGTAGCAAATTTCAAATAATATTAAAATCCTGAAACAAGCAGCGATTTATACTTTTAAGAATAATAAAAGAGAAAAATCTTACCCTGACACATGCTGAAATTTGATAGTCTGTTTCGGGTTGGTTGGTGAATTACATATAGTAAGCTACAAAAATAAACAATAACTTGTATTCTTCACAAAAATAGACATTATATTAATACATTTCTCTTTATATTACTGTTTTCACCTTATACTCTTTTTTTATCTAACTGTAAGTAAATTATTTAAATGTACATTCCAACCAGATTTCTTATCCACATCTTTTTTTTTAATGAAAATTAAAGCCTCTTCAACTGATCAAAACAAAAGAATGAAAAAAGTTGTTGTTTTCATTTCTCTAACTCAATGTCTACACAAAACACTTTCAACAGTCCAAGTATAAGAAGTTTATATCAAAATGAAATCTTCTCCATCTGTTTATATTAATTTCCAGAACTTGGAATATATTTTTATATACATGTATTTTTAAAGATAAATTACTTTGAAACACTGACACAGAGATATGTTGCATGTTTTGTTTTTTTGTTGGTATAATGCAAAGGTAAAAATTAAAATGGCAATATTTAAACATGTTAACTATGCAAATCATTCAAAGTCGATAAACCATGAGTGGAGGTGCAGGGCCAAATAACCTCCATGGAAATATGAAATGCCAATGCTTATAAAGCTCATACCAAATACCATTGACTTATCATAAGGTTCCCTTTAAACTAACCTGAACACAAACTTTAACTTGTAAACTATGTAAAAGTTTCAAAGTCAATGAACCATGATGAGGAGATGGGGCCATATAATCTCCACGAAAATGAGACTTTCAAATGCCAATACAACTGCATACCAAATATCATTGATTTAACATTAGTCATTCATCTTAAATTGATCTTATCACAAACTTTAACATGTAAATAATGCAAAACATTCAAAGTCAATGAACCATGACTGAGGGGGAGCCAAACAATCTTGTTGGAAGTGAGATGTGCCAATGATAATACAACTACATACCAAATATCATTGACCTACCCCTTAAAGTTCCCCTTAAACTGACCAAATCACAAACTAATACATGTAAACTAAGCAAAAATTTCAAAGTTAATAGACCATGACTGATGGGGCAGGGCAAAATAATCTCATCTGCATACATAATATCATTGACCTACACTAATGGTTCCCCTTAAACTGATCTAATCACAAAACTGTTGGCGACGACGATGTCGCCTTCCGAAACATCATGACTTAATCTTTAAATACTTTGTCAAAAATGAGAGAAAACTGAGTCATCAAAATTTGATTGAAATCTCCTCTCATGTGTGCAATTTAGATAAAGGTGACCTATGTTTGTATGGATATCATTACTTTTCTAGAACATGTCAACTGATAATACATGTAAGTACTGTAATCCAACTCATTTTTGCGAGCGATTTATTTACGAAAGTAGAAAATAATGTGATTATAAATTGTTGCTAATATGTAAAACTTGGATCTTCCTTTACATAAATACAACATGAAAATTAGAAAATCCCCAAAACAGATCCCTGTGAAGTTGGCTAGAATGAGCTAAACATGAAATAAAGTATCAACGAAAATAAGTTGGTTCACAGTATTTCAGGAATAACAGTACTGTTCTCATATCTTCTCTAGTGCTACTACCTGTGTATTAACTGATTCTGGATTTGTTTCTGTAATAAGACTTTGAGGATCTACTGTTGTTATAGTTTCAACTTTTGTTGTCACTTGATTATTGGTGACAGATAGTTGATGCTCTGTTATTGGAATGTTGGTTTCTTTATTTACAGCTAATTCTTTCTGTACCATGTCATCATAATGAGTCTGCAAATATAAATGGTACTTTATGGTATATAGAAATTTTAAAAAAAAAATCTATAGATTTTACTGATCGAAATGATTTATTTGGGGGGAGGGGGGAGTCTTTGAAACTGGTTTATATAGATCTGCTTCAATTATTCTGTCATTTTTTTTAACCTACAAATGTATCAAATAAGAATTCAGATTGAAGGTACTAAAAATCAAAATTCCCAAAAAATTCAGCAAAATGGTATCTAGTTATGACTATAATATTAAATGTATAAACAGTATACACACAGTGCAATCTATTCCTATTTATGTCGACAAGTATTAATAACATTATTGTCTGATTCTGTGATAATGCCACATTAGCAAATATTTGGTACCCCTTAGTTGGAGGATAATTATAAAAAGCTGATTAACTATAAATTGAGAACTGAGGATTCTTGTTAAATGTTGTCTTTATATTTCAAATTTTGTGTTTAAGGTCATTAGAAACTATTTAGTTGATGCATGGCATATCATGTTGATTTAAAAAAAAAACAGAAAATTGCAAAAAAAGATTGAGAAAGGATTACTCTTCATTCAGAAAATTTTGTGATGTTTTTATTGTAAAAATTGTGATTGAATGGGTATCGCAAAAATAAAAAGTTGCATTTCAAATTCTGATAGCATTATTCATTTGTGGCATTATTTTCAATAATCACAATAATAAATGTACACACAAATTTCTGAATTTTCAGTAATTCACAGTTATAGAAAGTAAAAATCTTCTATCAGATAAACCACTTAAATCCAGTACCTACCCTGCATTTGTTTACATGGTCCTCAATGTATTCCAGTAAGAACAATTTCCCACAAATCTGACATTCACCCCAAGTTTCACTATCACCTTGGTAATATATCAAATCTTTATTTATTTCAAGATCATTCTTGGTAGGCTTGATGTAAACACTGCCACTATGAATTCGGAAGAGTAAATCAACGTTAAAACTGTCTTCACTAGAGGCCAGATGTATCAAATTGCGACTGTTCTCATCTGCCCAGTACATGATGAATCCACCACCTTCTTGAAGTTTGGGAAATTCCCTGAAAAGTAAAATTATCCAATGGTCATTTATGTCAATATCCACATGAAGAACAAGTCACATGTTGGAACACTACATGTTAAATGTGATCTTCACAGGGAACATGACCCCCTACTCCCTGTTTAACCCAAATAACAACAAGAAATGATTGTAACAGGATGCTGTTACGAAGTCTCCCAAACGAAGCTCCCATAATTAGAAATTCCCAGTGTCGCCTGACATTGGACAAAGTCCAGTGAAAATTGGTTTGGTCCAGTAAAGTATATGCATTAGTGATGCCTGGGGACTAACCCTGTATATCATTCAAATCATCTTGGCATGACAAACCAGAATATATATGGTTTAGGGGTGGGGATCTTGACCACTTACAAGATATTAGAACTTTCTCAAATGGAAGGGGGTCGGGATGATCCCTGGGGACTAACCCTGTATATCATTCAAACCATCTTAGCATGACAAACCAGAATATATATGGTTTAGGGGTGGGGATCTCGACCATTTACAAGATATTAGAACTTTCTCAAATGGCAAGGGGTCGGGATGACCCCTGGGGACTATCCCTGTATATCATTCAAACCATCATAGCATGACAAACCAGAATATTTATGGTTTAGGGGTGGGGATCTTGACCACTTACAAGATATTAGAACTTTCTCAAATGGCAGGGGGTCGGGATGATCCCTGGGGACTAACCCTGTATATCATTCAAACCATCTCGGCATGACAAACCAGAATATATATAGTTTAGGGGTGGGGATTTCGACCATTTACAAAGATACTAGAACATTGGGGGTGGGGGGAACCCCTGGGGACTGACCCTATACGTCATTCAAATGTTCGTTACATGACACACAGGAATATATATGGTTTAGGGGTGGGGATCTCAACCATTTACAAGATATTTAGAACATTGGGGGTGGGGGGAACCCCTGGGGACTGACTGTATACATCATTCAAATGTTCGAGACATGATAAATAGGAATATATATGGTTTAGGGGTGGGGATTTCAACCATTTACAAGATATTAGAACTTTCTCAAATGGCAGGGGGTCGGGATGACCCCTAGGGACTAACCCTGTATATCATTCAAACCATCTTAACATGACAAACCAGAATATATATGGTTTAGGGGTGGGGATCTTGACCACTTACAAGATATTAGAACTTTCTTAAATGGCAGGGGGTGGGGGTGACCCCTCGGGACTAACCTTATATTTCATTTGATGTGCTTTATCATGACAAACCAGAATATATATGGTTTAGGGGTGGGGATCTCAACCATTTACAAGATATTAGAACTTTCTCAAATGGCAGGGGGTCGGGATGACCCCTGGGGACTAACCCTGTATATCATTCAAACCATCTTAGCATGACAAACCAGAATATATATGGTTTAGGGGTGGGGATCTTGACCACTTACAAGATATTAGAACTTTTTTAAATGGCATTGGGTGGGGGTGACCCCTGGGGACTAACCCTGTATTTCATTTGATGTGCTTTATCATGACAAACCAGAATATATATGGTTCAGGGGTGGGGATCTCGACCATTTACAAGATATTAGAACTTTCTCAAATGGCAGGGGGTTGGGATGACCCCTGGGGACTAACCCCATATATCATTCAAACCATCTTGGCATGACAAACCAGAATATATATGGTTTAGGGGTGGGGATCTCGACCATTTACAAGATATTAAAACTTTCTTAAATAGCAGGGGGTGGGGGTGACCCCAGGGGACTAACCCTGTATTTCATTTGATGTGCTTTATCATGACAAACCAGAATATATATGGTTTAGGGGTGGGGATCTCAACCATTTACAAGATATTAGAACTTTCTCAAATAGCAGGGGGTCGGGATGACCCCTGGGGACTAACCCTGTATATCATTCAAACCATCTTAGCATGACAAACCAGAATATATATGGTTTAGGGGTGGGGATCTTGACCACTTATAAGATATTAGAACTTTCTTAAATGGCAGGGGGTGGGGGTGACCCCTGGGGACTAACCCTGTATTTCATTTAATGGGTTTTATCATTTAGAACATTTTCAATTAAAAAGATTGTGTCTATCACAAACGGTTTTCAATTTATAATCATTTGAAAATTTTAAAAAATAAAATCCCATAGGGTTCTATAGTAAAACCCTCTTTTCTTTTTGCCCCTCAAAGTACCCCTTTATAAACCCCATTGCACAAACAAAACCCTGATTGCACCACTATACATGTTAGTCTAACATATTGTGAAACCCTAAGTTAATCTGACAAGCGGTTTTGGAGAACGGGTGCGGACAAGTTCAAATTTAAAAGCGGCGGAAGAAGAAGAAGAAGAAGAAGAAGAAGAAGAATAATAATAATAATAAGAACTGAGCAAAAACAATAAGTCTTCCCAAACTTCGTTTGGGAGACTTAATTATATTATATTGAGAGTCCTAATATTATTTACCATTCTGATGTTTGTTTTATTGTTTACAGGGTATATATATACTGTAAAGTCAGAAATTATTGCGTGTATTTATTATTGCAATTATTGAAGAAAGGACAAAAATGCAAGATTTATTATTGCGATTTCAGGAAATTCTGCATACCGGTACATATATATGTATCAGATGTCAGAATGCTATTTCTTTTTATTGCGATTCTCACCTAGTGGCATTATTTGCAGTAATTTCTGAATTTACAGTATTTTCTTTATTTCTTCTTAACAATGCAAAACAGTAATCATTTTTAAAGGGGCACTAGCTGTCAAATTCATGTTCACCGATTTGACTCAAATTCTCATATTAGATTTATAACAATGTAAAACATTTATCCAAATTATAAAAAGTTTTAAATAAACAATTTACAGGGCATGGGCTCGATAATATGTAGCTTCGTTTCTTGTGTATTTTAGTCTAGACGCCATCTAATTAACTATCAAGATGACCATGAAAACAACCGACAGTCACATGACACGATATAAACTTAAACATAAATATCAATAGATATATGGACCTCGTGCAAATGGATTTTTCTATGTCTGTTTGATTTCAATTTTAAGGTTAAAAAAATAAGTTAATTTTCGATTTTACCTGTATAAGAATGATTTTTTGTGGATCGAATCAGTCAATCAAATGTTTTATCTTTGTTTCACTTTCAATGTTGACATTCTTTTCTTTTAATAGCCTATCATGCATCAATCATGCATAATCCATCTCTAGCTAAGGGGTTATATTGAAGTTCACATGAATACAGATTCCAAGAGTTCGAATTATTCACTTGCAAGTGAATAATTCATCATCGATGATTCTTAGCTTATTTTGACAAAATTGAACCATACTGGCTGCTAATAGCGAATAATTATTTCACTATTTCACTTTCATTAATGATTGAACAAAAAAAATCATGATTTAAATTTTGTATGTATCTCGTAGCTAGTGCCCCTTTAAATGACAAAATTCTGTAGGTGAAATCTCAGATGAATACACTATACAACAGCTAAACATTTACAAAGACTTTATTATTATGTTCAGGACAAATAACAAGAAAAACTTATATTAGCCTTTTTAATTCATATAAAGACTGGCATACTATATCCTATGATATGTCACAGGAGCTATAAAAATCAGATCATAATTTCAATCTGAGCAATCTCAGTGCATTTATTATATTGAAATTTATTTCATTTTGACCAGTTGACCCCAAAATGAATATTGATTAACTGTTTACCTCAACTCATGGGGCATTATATATTTAACCAACTTAAAAATTGGACATATATGCTCCAAATGTCAGATGACTCATAGCTAATTTGTTCTTGATGTTCCTTTTAGTTTATAACTATTTTATCTCAGACAAAGAGGATCAGAAACAAGTTTAAGTAACTAATGAAGTCTTACTCTTCCAATGTGGCATTATAAGATTTTATCCAGAATCTGAAATGTTGACATCCAGACGCCTTGACGACATTCATCCTATCATAAGCCTTAAAAATGGTTCTTTCTGTTTTATTATTTAAGAATAATTTAATGCTCATAACATTTAAATTCTAAACTAATTTGGACTTTGCCATTATAATTCAAATTTAGGTCAATAGTGGTTTGTGAAGACATGAAAAACATTTAAATTCTATCAAGAGTATTATTCACAGAATTATCAGAAAAATACTCACGTCTGCTTTTAACATTTTTCCAAGGAAAATACTTTAGAATCATCCTTATTATCATGATTATCATGATTATGCAAGAAAAACAAGTGAAACTGCGAGCTACTGCTCACTGGTGATACCCCAGCCCAAATATTTTGGTAAACAGGAAGTTGTTGAGTGATGAATCTGAAAACGCATCACACGGTATAGATGACTTATATAAACCCTGAAATCAAATTTCAGAAATCCTTGTATTGTAGTTCCTGAGAAAAATGTGACGAAAATTTTCAACTTGGCTATCATGTGTAAAATGATACAAGTGTTCGGTAAACAGGAAGTTGTTGAGTGATGAATCTGAAAAAGCATCACATAGTATAGCTGGCTTATATAAACCCTGAAACAAAATTTCAGAAATCTTTGTCATGTAGTTCCTGAGAAAGATGCAACAAAAATATTCATGGGACGGACGGACTGAACGGTTGGATGGACAGACAGAGGTAAAACAGTATACCCCCACTTTTTTAAAGCGGGGGTATAATAATTAACAGGATTTTATATGAAAATGAACTACACTGTACCAATAATATTTAAAATACATTAAATTGTTTTTAACTTCTTCCCCTATATTTGGTTTCAATGAAATGTAGTTTATCGAGAGTTGCAATTGGTGATGATAGCAATTTTCTACTGGTCTTTGTTTTTATTTTTAAATTCAGAGCTTTACATTTTCAATAGACTATTCAATTGATGAGGACTGTAGGTTGACCTCTAGATGTCCTTTGGTTTCTGCCTCATTACCATGTACTCTACATTTCTATTTATTCATATGATGTATCGTTAGTGTACCTTAAGATTGAAGAAGTAACATCCTCCGAGTCACCATCAACAGGGAATTCTACCACTCTATCACCCAGACCATTTGCTGCCAGTACTCTCTTCTCAACAAAGTTTGGTGATTGTGTAGCATTTTTTCTTGACATTGCACAAATAACTTTTTTCCTTTTCTTACCTGTAAATAAAATTCAAACCATCCATCATAAATCTATCAAATTTTCCTTTTTCTTTTATTGTTTGGTACAAGGATTTGTATATTTTTGTTTATAATTTTGTAAGACAAAATAGTCAACTCACATAGGCATGAACATATAAAGGTGTACTCTACTTTCTCTTTTCGATGAAATTATTGCCCATTTTTAGGATTTAAAAAAAAAAATCGCCAGGGGCAGATATGCAAATTAATGCTTTAAAAAGATCAATCTTTTATCTTTCGGTGGAATTTATGCTAATGCACAAAAAAGATCCACATGTATTTGCATCTACCACAATTAACTGTCAGTCAGGGGTACTACTTGTACAAGTAATTTTTATTTACTTGAAGAAGTAAATATTAATATACTTATATAAGTAAATTTGTAGGATACTTATACAAGTGTATTTTATTTACTTGTATAGGTAAAAAAAAATTGGGCTTAGTTATGTCCCTTAGAAATTCAGATTTTTTTACTTATACAAGTAAAAAAGTCATCCTATCTTCTTTTCTTGAATTCTTAGGACTTCTTTGCTCTAATAGAATTTTTGATTGTCTGTCCTTTGCAGATGTCTTTACTAATCATTTAAGTGTAATTTCATGGACAATGAAAATCTCATTTGTCTGTTATCTTCAGAACACTGTTATTTACAAGCCCCCAAGGGGCAATTTTTGAAGGCCTTGCGCAAATACTTAAGATCTTTGCGCAATCAGTTTCTTTGTTGAATTAATGAGATGAAACATTGAACTCTAATAAAAAATTATGAGCTAACCTGAGAAAAATTGTTAAAGGCATGTTTTTAGATCTCAAAACTTGAGAATTTTTGTGGGATTGTAAAAAAAATTTACTTGTACAAGTAAATTTTTAAGAAAATTAAGGGGAGATTATTCAAACATTATAATTAACTTATTTAAGTTTATTTTATTTACTTCTTCAAGTAAATAAAGATTACTTGTACAAGTAGTACCCCTGACTGACTGTTTTGTGAAAATTTGTCTTTAAGTTAAAAGTTTACAAATATCTTGAAGCTATATTATAATTCACATTTTTGTAAGTAAAAACATGTATATAAAGTAGCATTAAATCCTTAATTATGCACCTTCACTATGTTCAGTAAACTTTTAAAGCCCATAAAAACAGATGTCAACAATTCAAATATACCAACTTGGCCTTTTTTACCTTCTTTAATAAAGGGTTCCATTTCTTTTGTTTAATTTCAACTGGGTTGTCTCATTGTCATCGTACCACATCTTCTTATTTTTACAATAAAAATTTTAATGAACAGCTTCAATATGTTCAATAACTAAATTTAAGCTCTAATGAATATATTCCTTCTTCATTTAAAGGTAAACAATAAGAAACAGGCTATTATTTGAACTTGGAATTATTTTTAATTATGGAATTTGTATAATTTCTTGTGTTTGAGATTTTTACTAAATTTTATGCTTATTCTGTATTTTAATGTTCTGTGCGGTGCACAACACTTTTTATTACAAAGAATGTAACACATTTTCAATAGAATGTACTGTGCCGCGCACAACACTATCTATACAAAATACATTGTATGGAAAGTGTTATGCGCCACTCAAAACATAATAATACAGAATAAACATGGAATTTATTAAAAATTTCAAGCACAAGAAATTATGCAAATTCCATAATTAAAAATAATTCCAAGTTCAAATAATAGCCTGTTAAGATCTTATTTGAAAAACCTCCAATTGAATGATTTCTTTTTGAAATTTCTTGTTTGAATGCTTTGTGTTAAAACAAGTTGTTGGCTGAGAAATGTTGGCCCTTTCAATACTTACTTTGTAATGTGGGTAATTTTGACTTAATTGAATATAATTCGTCAGCCTCAACTTTACAAGCTTGAAGTATTTCTGATGCTGTTTTTTTGGGTTTCCGTCTGCCAGTTATAGATTTAGGTACTGATTCTATAGGTGGATACACTGTTTCAGAAATGGTCTCATCTTCCATGATGGATTTAGATGTTTTATCAATCAGCTGTTCAGTATCGTCTTGTAAGGCTGAATTTTCTTGTGCATCGTAAGAATCTGTATCACTACTTGATAAAGATTCACTATCTTCAGAGTCTTCTTCCTACAACGTATATAATGTAAAGAATTCAAATTGTATATGTTCTAACAAATTGGATTTTTTTGTACAAAGTCTTGCTTGGAACAAAATGTGGATTATGTATTTGTATATTACAAAAATTACAAAAGAATAATTATTCAATATAGTCAAATCTGCAATATTGGGCACCACTGTATAAGGCATCCACTTCATGTACAATGTAGGCTAGTTAAAGAAGGCTTATTTGAACAGATTGTGTAAAATTACAGAATGTTTTGGAAATTTTCAGATATGATGATGATAATTGCACGTCTAAAATAAAATGACAACATTTCTTAACCTGGTGGTGGTTTTGTCTTGAAAAATGAGTTAAAACATTTTTCCATATCATTTGATCAATTGATTCATGTACAATGTACCATGTTTGCTTTATAAAGCATTAGTGCAAAAGATTATATTGTGGCATCCATATATTAAATGTGAATTATAATATGAATTTTAGGTTGAATATAATGAGAGACATACATGTACATGTGTGTACATATTTTACACTTGTTAATTTCTCAGTTAAGACAGATGCTTTTTAACCATGCATTTTTTCGACAATTCAAGTACTGGTGGTGCCGTCTATACCCAAAGATGTGCTGTCTCAGGAAAAGACAACTGCAACAACTAACAAAACTAAGTAAGCTTAACTGCCTACATTCACTAATATTACTTTTGTTACTTCTATTTCTGAGGTCGTCCTGAATATGCATGAAATATTTGCCACTGGACATTAAGCAACCAACAATAAATCAATCTATTTCTGAGGATGATTTTGTGTAATCATAATTTTTTAATTGAAACAATTTCCAAACATTAAGACATGTTTATGATGCATGTTACAACAATCCTATTTATATATATTTTAAACCTAATTAAATCAAGTACAACTACCCAAGCTTCCTTTCATGAATAAGAATGATGTATTGCATTGATCTTGACTAAAATAAATGGGGAATGTGTCCATGGGACACAGATGATGCCCCCGCTTGCATATCATATAAAGTTATAAAGGAACATAACTGAAAAAAGGTAAAAGTGACGCTACCCAAATTTGTACTTGATCTGAGTTTTGTAGTTAGAAGTATTGTGTATAAGTTTCATAACATTTGGTTCATGCCAACTTAAGTCAGAGAACAGAAACGAAAATTTCAGCAAGTTTTCCATTTGTAAAGGGGCATAACTCGAGAACACTAAAAGTGACACCACAAAAATTTAAACTTGATCTGTATTTTGTGGTAATAAGCATTGTGTATAAGTTTCATAACATTTGGTTGAGGCAAACTAAAGTTAGAGAACAGAAACCAACTTTGGGACGTACAAACGGACGTACGGACAGACACGGGTAAAACTTAATGCCCCCTCCCCTATGGCGGGGGCATGAAAAAGAGCAATATCTTCAAAAATATGAATTTTACATCACATTTAGCATGTTTAGCAGATGATTATGATGAATGAGGTCCTTAATACATTTTTTTGTACCTCTCGAAAATGTACATTTATGTTGCCTTACCGCAAACATATATTTCTTTCGTCTCTTAGTTCTTCTCTCTGATGATGAGTTTTTATAAGTTGTTCTCTTTGTTTTTAAAACAATCCCTCCACTATAGTTGTCAAAAATGGTTGGAACAGCTTTTTCCTTTAATCTTAATTGTTTCTGTTTGTACCCAATAGACACAGCTAACGATGGATCAATAACAAACTGGTCATTGGTGAAATGACGGGCACAAACACGGGCAAATGGTGATGGCTGAAAGTCCTTTCTCTTCAAGGCTACCTTGTCAATCCAAAGTTGTCTCCTTTCCAAATCTTTTTCTGGAAACTTGAACATTGCAATCCCTTGTCCTGATTGGATTTTGCAGTTTAACACAGAACAGAACACCATCTTGATTATTATATTTCATCTAAATCAGTAAAAGACATTTACAATTTTTCATCTTATTTCAAATATACAAGTACAAACAAAACGTATGTTATCAACAGAAAGTGAAACTTTTTTTCATTCAGAACAAAAATATTTGGTATAGAGACTGTGAAAAGCCTCTACATGTAATTGCTCCTCCAGAAAAAAAGAGATGTACAAACAAAGACAAGCATGACAAGCAATTATTAAATATATATTCATAATATTGATAATCTTGATAAAAGTATAAGTATGGAGAAAATATGCTCTCCATAAACAACCATAAAAATTGGATATACTAAAACACACCCGCGACATCGAGGGTCTGTGACTGAATTAAAGTACCTATGCCTTTTTTTTAGCCTGGATTTTTAGTATTTGTATTGTCATCTGATAAAGTTCTGCAGATTGTAAGGTTCCATGTTTTCTCTGCTTTCAAAATCTTTCTGCTTGAACCCGTCCTGGTTTTCTAACTACAATAAACTTACTATAAACCAAATTAAATTTTTCAACTAAGTAACCAAATAAGTAGTACAACGGGAAACTTTGATTTTCAAAATAACTGAACCATGTGAGTTACTTTATACCATACCATGCTTACTTTGTAATACTGTATTATAAAGCTCAAAGTTGATGTGCCTATCCCAGTGTTCCAGCTAGGATTTCAAAAGGGCAGGGAACCAACCATGAAAAGGCACTTTAGCACGATGATTGATATTTCAAAAAGGGAGTGTCAAACATTGTCTTATGTTAACTGCAGGGGTTTCAGCTAGGAGTTTTGAGGGGGTTTAGTCACTTTTACGCTAGATGAAAATCAACCTTATTTTGGGTAACAGTATTAAAGGGACCATGCAAGGACATATATTACTAGCTCAGTTTTTCCTGAACATTTTTGATGCATGGTAGGTCTAAGGTTAAGTTGCAATGCAGAGAGCAGCGGCATTTTGTAGAATTATTTTTATTTCATTAGTGAAATGAATTGTGCATGTCAGTTTAAATACTAAACTTGATCTGCAATACAGTCAGGAACAATACCTTACATTTACTCCAGGGGCCAACCTGGATCCCAAAACTTTTTTCCAAGGTCCCAGTAGAAAATTTAAGGCCCTACCAGGGTATTTTTACTACAGGTACATACTTATTAATAGTCTTGAATGTTCTTATAAAGGCAATAATATATGTTTGAAATGCCTAATATATGTAGCCCAGTGTTTCTGATTATGATAGAAATAATAAATGAATTATAATAAACAACATTGAGTTTTTCAGAATTAAAATCCATTTAACCATGTCTTTTCAGACTGTTTAACTTATATTTGTAATATTATATATAAAAAATATATAAAAAAAAAATCCCCCCCCCCCTTTCCATTTTACACACCCCTAGATGTAGAGTAATTAAAGTATTATCAGTTTCACCCCAAGAAAGTATTCATTTTAATGAAATAATCTTAGCAGTTAATCAAAATGAAAATCTTACTGTCTATAAATAACAATGAACTGTAACTGTTTCTTATTAAAGGGGTTTTCCGAATTTTTCCCGCCAAAAAAGCACATGGCTTTCAACAAATGATCACAAATGTAAACAAAGCAGTCAATTTGTGATCATGGATTACAGCTTTAATTAATTTAATTTGGATATAGATATTCAATGAAAGGTACAGTCAAGCATTGTTTTTACTTTCTTCTGGATTAGAACTAGTTTAAAAGATCAATTTAAAAAAAAAAATCTTTGACATAACAACAGACGATCTACGGATACATCAAACGCAAATTGTCATCTTTTGAGAAATATTGAAATTGAAATGCTGACTGACCGAATTTAATGAGAAAAATTATTACAATGGTCAATTATGAAGTTTAATTAAGGGATTAATGACCCATCCGATGTTAATAAGCGGATTACCTGTAATCACAACTTATTACACCTGCTGTAAATGTTAATTAGCTGAGGGTCATAAACTTGTCATAAATATGAAGACAGGTAGAATGATTGTATTGTCATCAAAATATTACGGCAATAAAGGCATGGACGTTCGAAAAAGGGCAGGGCGTCTAAAAAAGGGCACAGGGCGTCAGAAAAAGGGCACAGGGCGGCACTCGGGAAAGGGCGGGCGGACCGCCCTGTGAAAACGACCTAGCTGGAACACTGTATCCCAGGTTATGACTGTTGTAATAAGTATTTTACACCATTGTTTCAGATAGAATCAGATAAGGGTGAAGGTTTGGTACCATTAAAACATTTAAACCCGCTGCAATTGTTTGCACCTGTCCTAAGTCAAAAATCTGATGTTCAGTAGTTATCGTTTGTTGATGTGGTTCATAAGTGTTTCTCGTTTTTTATATAGATTAGACCGTTGGTTTTCCCGTTTGAATGGTTTTACACTAGTAATTTTTGGGGCCCTTTATAGCTTGCTGTTTGGTGTGAGCCAAGGCTCCATGTTGAAGACTGTACTTTGACCTATAATGGTTTACTTTTATAAATTTTTACTTGGATGGAGAGTTGTCTCATTGGCACTCATACCACATCTTCTTATATCTATATACAATCATGACAATGTATATCATGCATTGTCATCAGTGGCGGATCTAGAACTTTTCATAAGGGGGGGCCCACTGACTGACCTAAGGGGGGGCCCGCTCCAGTCATGCTTCAGTGATTCCCTATATAATCAACCAAATTTTTCCCACAAAAGGGGAGCCCGGGCCCCCCCCCCCCCCCCCCCTGGATCCGCCTATGGTCATGTATTATAAATATATTTGAATTCTTTGATTACAGATTAATGCCTAGTTTTTATTCATGCAAGCACCTGTTCATTACTGCATCTCTTTTTAGTAAATAATATAATATTTATAACAGCATAATATTTTTCTTTAATGCATATCTGCCAACCTCTGAAACCTTCAATGAGGGAGATCTTATAACCCTCAGCTGTGACAGCTGTGGGAGAGATTTTGCGCAAACAACATTTTCAAGTTAAATCAATGACTTGTACATCAACAAGACACAAAAATGGGTTGATAAATAGACATCCAGCTGCCATACTTCCTAGCACACAAAATGTTACAATATAAAATTAGTGGCAGCAAGAGAGTTAATTCAGTCTGGTTAAGTCAAATCCCTGACTGTTAAAAATCATGACCTGGATGGGTATGTCCCTCAATAACACAATATACATGGTTTCTAAACATTGAAAGGGCTGGAAAATCAGGAAGTGTCTGTCTGAGATAAACTATCATGTTTTGTTCTTTGCTCCAGGCAGATTCATGTACATATAATCCAGGACTTGCATATGATGTCCAATATCAATGAATATTGACCTTTGAAATAAGCCCATGACACTTTTGTCTCTCCCAGAGCACCTCTAAAAGCTTGTCCAAACATTATTATAAAGTCTTGGAAGGTGATTTTTTATTGTTTGCTTGGTAGTATTCCAAGACGTCATTTCATTTACAAGGGTTTAGTTCCCAACATAAAAAAGCAAATTCCCCCTGACCACAAGTTTGTGTTGGTATGCAAAAACTTATCTATCGTCAATATATTTTAAATGTAACGTGTAAAACTCCTCTAATGATGGAAAATCGTGTAAAATTAATAATTTTCCTTATATTTTATCAGAAAATATTACCAAAAAATAGTTTTCTTCACCGGAAGTTTCCAATCTGCTAAAAATACTGGAACGTATACGGGTAAAAGAAATGTTCCGGATTTCAACAGAATAACAAAATTACGCTATAGCTGAGAGATATGCTTACTCACACATTCCCGCTCGTGCATGATCTTTTCATATAAGAATAGTAGATTTTTCAGTGGGTACATCTGACCTGGTTCATGTGTTTTTTTGGTTTTTTTTTTAGTTTTTTTTTTAATTTTTTCTATTTTTTTTTTGTATAAATTTGTAAGAAGCTGAATTCAAATAAATTCAAGTTAAATCTTCTTAAAGACCATCAAAAAAAGGATCTTGCCATGACAAATGTGTTGTTTTTAGATTTTCCATTATCACTACCGGCCCATTTCTTTTTGCATAACCCATGTTAATTATGTAAAGCTCGTGCATGCCAAGTTCGCAAGTTACGAATTTCATTCACAAGCTCTACCCGTAACCGTATAAACTCTACGACAGGATTACCAGGATGAACGACAGAAATCAATCGACACTGTTGTTTTGCGGTCCACGATATGCAGGAATTGGTTGACCGTTATAATGGACCAATTGTATTGTTAGTCCCAGTCGATGTGGGTGTGTGCAGGGACTTTCTATACTATAGTATAGAAAGTCCCTGGTGTGTGTAAGTGTACCTATTGATGCATTGATGTCTGGATTGGGTTTACAGAATAGAGAACAATGGCTAAAAATAGAGAATAATGGTAAAAAAATAACTATTAAAGGAAAATCCTGTTTAAAGAATGCAGAAATGAAAACTACCCATCAAGACCCTAGTCATGAGAGACATGTTTTCGCGGTCGTTCAAGACACAATAGTCTAACAATTTGAAGAAAAAATACCGATTTTGTCCTTATCATGGCCGTTGCATGTTCATTAACTTTGTACAGGACTCTGTACTTGCATGTTAGATGATGCGTACATAGTTTTGAACATCGATGAACTACTGTTGTCTCTGAACAATGTAGCCATATCATTTAAGTGATATTCGCATTCGTTGTCATGATCAAAGGCACTCGGTTAGCAGATTAAAATAATCATATTTTTTTTTTGTTCAATTTGTATTACATTATTAACGCTTTTAATGTTGGTATCAATATTTCTTTGTTTTCTTGCAATGTGCAGTTTACTATCCATATCCGTATACAGAAAATTATGATAAATTAATACAAATTCAGAAATTGACAGAAATACAAAAAAAAAAACATTGATATTTTTGTTAATCTCCTAACAGAGTCCATGTGGTCATGATACGAATCGCAGAATCCTCTCCTGATTTTTTTCTATATTGTATTAACATTTGATTCAGTACATTCAGAGGACAAAATATAAAATTTGAAAGTATAAAAGATACGGATTTCAAACACAAGTAATTTAATTATTTAAGATACTAGACAACCACTAGTTCTCTCCAAAACGTGTATTTGCTGGGATGCCGTTCTGCATAACGATGCATAAATTCACTTTAAAGTAGTTATTTATTCACCATGTTCACAGAAGATTGGCAACATCTTCTTTTATGTTAATCTTACATGCCTAAATATTAAAGACGCCTGTGACAGGATTAAAATAATGTTTTATAATTTATTTGCGTTTTATTTATTCTAATCCAAGTTATGTGATTACCAATATTAATCATGTATAGGCGGCATCATTTAAAACAATTATTCTGAATTGACATGGTGAGCAATCTAATTAAAATATAGATCTCGGATTTCGTTGTACTACGTTATACTACATACTCGTATGTAGTATAACGAAATCCGAGATCTATATTTTAATTAGATTGCATGGTGAGAAACTGAGCCATTCATGATTGTAACTTCTCAGTGAATTCAAATCTTAAGTTTTTTCTTCGCCGATTTGAGCATTAAAATCCACTTTTACTGAATTATGAGAATTTAATTATGATATGATATCTGGTATTTTAATGCTCCCCGAAAAAAATAAAATGATAAAAAGAAAATATCAGATATACATCACAATGTGTGAATAAATCTTATTAGAGACGCCACAATATGATAGCAGAAATTATCAATTTACTTTCGTTAGAACAACTAAGCGTTTAACAATGTTTAAGGGAGGGGAAATCAGGACTAGACCAGAAATTGTGCGACTAAGAGATTATCGGGTTTCATGTGTAAAGGTATCGTGTAATATTAATTGGTCGCTTGAAACAATGACGTATTCTTATACTCGTTTGCTGCCTCACTCGCCAAAAAGCGTAACATTGTGACTCGCTTCTGATCAGAACGTAAACTTTTAGCGTTGAAAATCTAAACCAAAACACACGAGATAGCTGCTTCTCCCGTCTGTCACATATTCGTAATTGTATTTACATACTATATACAATAAAGAGATATTGTATGATTGCCGATAAGACAACTATAAAACTTGAAAGAGTCCAAATGAAGCGGATTTAAGCAACTACATGTATTGTTCACCATACGGTCATAAAGAATGAACGAAATCTATACTGTATACTCTGGCTATAACCCTGCGATAAAAGGCTAAACGTGAAACAATTCAAACGAAAAAACCAACGGCCTAATTATTACAAAACAATAAACGAAAAATCACTCCGACAGATGACAACCAACGACAGCAACTGAATTACGGGCTTCTGGACATGCACAATGTATATAAATGTAAAATGTGGCGGGGTTATACATGTATGTGAGCCCTTCTCCTAACCCAAGACAGCAATCTAATTGTCTATAGACAGTGGTGTAACAGCTAGTCCGAGATTACTAGATGACGTCCAACGGCTGTTTTGCCAATTCAAACGAAAATAAACTGCTTCGCTGAGCGCAGCTGGATACGCCCGCAGAGGTCCAACCCTGAACAGTTGGGGCAAAAATAGACACAATATTCAAGCTTGATACAGGTCTGAATTTGGATTGTAATTAAATATTTGACATATTAAAGGTTTCTGAATAAATGTAGTCAAAGAACTTGAAATTGGTTCTATGAATTGAATTTATATTCAATTAAAGATTTCTTGCTGTTGTGCAATACACTGTGCTGTTGCACAATCCTTAGTAAATCTGTTGTCAGACAATAAACAAATAAAGTTCAACAATTTCTTCTCAATGTCATATTTGAAATTTATGGAAATCAATAGGGAGATTACATCAATAGCTATAAATAATTCACCAAAGTTTCATGAGAACTGCTGAAAGCATTTTTGAGTTATTGTCCGAAAACTGGAAAATCACCCTTTTTTATGAATAAAACCCTGTAACTCGGAAACGTAAAATGTAAAATTTATAAAATTCTAAAGGGAGCTTACATCAACAGTTATAAACAATTCACCAAAGTTTCATGAGAACTGCTGAGAGCATTTTTTAGTTATTGTCCGAAAACTGGAAAATCACCCTTTTTTTTTATGAATAAAACCCTGTAACTCGGAAACGTAAAATCTAAAATTTATAAAAATCGAAAGGGAGCTCATGTCAATAGATATAAACAATTCACCAAAATTTCTTGCAAGTTGGTGAAAGCATTCTTGAGTTATTGTCGGAAAACTGGAAAATCACCCTTTTTTTTAAGAATAAAACCCCAAAACTCAGAAACGGTAAATCTGAAATTTATAAAAAACGAAAAGGAGCTCACGTCAATAGATATAAACAATTAAAAATAATTAAAACAAAAGAGTTGGAAGACACATAAAAGACATTCAAACTCATAGGTCGACGACAACGTGGCTACCCCGTGGCAACAAAAAACAAGAGTGCACACGCTGAAATGTCTCGCCTTCTTTACTAATCATTGATACTAAAAAAGTATGTTGATAGTCCTAAATATAAAGCTTTACTACAACTATCACATACACTTAACATGATCCAAGAAAATGAGGTCAAGGTCATATAAACCAAACAAGAAATACATGTACACCTTACAATCATTCAATACACTAAATATAGTTGACCTATTGTTTATAGTTTCTAAGATACATACTTAACCAAGAAAACTAAACATAGACAATGAACCATGAAAATGAGGTCAAGGTCAGATGAACCATGCCAGGCAGACATGTACAGCTTGCAATCCTTCCATACAACAAATATAGTTGACCTATTGCTTATAGTATTAGAAAAACAGACCAAAACGCAAAAACTTAACACTGAGCAATGAACCGTCAAAATGAATTCAAGGTCAAATAAAACCTGCAAGACTGACATGTGCAGCATAAAATATTTCCATACACCAAATATAGATGACCTATTGCATATAGTATTAGAAAAAAAGACCAAAACTCAAAAACTTAACTCTGACCACTGAACCATGAAAATGAGGTCAAGGTCAGAAGACACCTGCCAGCTAGACATGTACACCTTACAATCATTCCATACACCAAATATAGTAGACCTATTGCATACAGTATAATAAAAACAGACCTAAACACAAAAACTTAACTATAACGGTATAACCACTGAACCATGTAAATGAGGTCAAGGTCAGATGACACCTGCCAGTTGGACATGTACACCTTACAGTCCTTCCATACACCGAATATGCTAGACCTATTGCTTCTAGTATCTGAGATATGGATTTGACCACCAAAACTTAACCTTGTTCACTGATCCATGAAACGAGGTCGAGGTCAAGTGAAAACTGTCTGACAGGCATGCTGACCTTGCAAGGTACGCACATACCAAATATAGTTATCCTATTACTCATAATAAGAGAGAAATTAACATTACAAAAAAATCTTAACTTTTTTTTCAAGTAGTCACTGAACCATGAAAATGAGGTCAAGGACAATGGACATGTGACAGATGGAAACTTCGTAATATAAGGCATCTATATACAAAGTATGAAGCATCCAGGTCTTCCACCTTCTAAAATATAAAGCTTTTAAGAAATTAGCTAACACCGCCGCCGCCGCCGGATCACTATTCCTATGTTGAGCTTTCTGCGACAAAAGTCTCGCAGGCTCGACAAAAACAACAATGTTTGAAAAACATTTTTTAACAATGATTATGGACAATTTC